TAAACTCTTCTTTGGAGTTAATCAGTGAATAGGAATGACATGGCAATGGTTTTCATACATTAAAAGACTGAAATTCTGAACATTAAGACAAAAATTTCAGTTGAATTTTAGAAGAATCCTTAACAATCTGAGCTGTTTTTAATGGTGATGAGCTTTCCATCACTAGCCAAGGCTTCCTGCAAGCGTTATTATAAAGGAGATTCCTGAATTCAGTAGAACCAGTGGTTCTCAAAAACTGGTCCAGACATCTATACTCAAATCACATGCCCTCTACTGTTTCTGTAAATCTAAAATACAGATTCCTGGGCCTCATCTCCCACAGATTCCAACTCAGATTCTATGGGCGCTGTGGGAATCTGTATTCATTTTATTTGAACTTCTACGTAAATCCGATGCATAGTCAAATATGGAAAGTGATCTTCCAGTTAATGTCTTACGATTTTATCTACGTTGACTAAGTTTAAGAATCTCTGGGCTATTTCTACATAACCAAAATAAAAAACACTTTTAAGTCACTGAACCTGAGTACTGAAGATAACCAATACGTAAACATTAACTGAACAATAAATACTCACAGAGAACCTACTATACATAAGGTTCTGCTTAGACATTGAAATGAAGGCCTAATAGTGGATATATGGCTGAAATCAAATATTCTGGCTAAATAACTCTGGTTTGACTTAATTAGGCTCTGAGGAACTGAATACATTTTAACCAACTAAGTTGTTTAGACCACCTGGCCTCATTTCTAGTTAGTATCAGTTCAGAGTGCTCCCAGTTCTTTAATGCAGCATATGTTATGAAATTCCCCTCATTACATTCTCAAAATAAAAATATTTTAAATTCATGTGAATTTTTAGCATCAATTTATGAAATATTACTTACTTTTTAAAGTCAAAAATCACTGCTTTATTTTTAGATTTCTCTTTCTCTCTTTGTCTTTTTTCCCCTCTCTGGTGTCCATCTCTATTTTCCCCATATTTTTTCTCTCCTGTACTTGGAGGTGTTGGAGGTTTGATCTGTAGATCATGCAACCTCTCGATCCCCTTCCATGGATGTCTTTTAGACTTTGGAACCTGCAGAACAAAAGCTGGTCAGTATTGTATAACAGAGGTCCATTTTAAAGGTAAGTCATGACATTTCAAAAACATTTAATTAAAATGAGCACAGGAAAAATCCTTATGTAAGAGCAAACATTCACTGAGCATTTACTACATGCTAGATGCTGTACTAATCCAAGGCTTTACCTGGATTACATCACACCAACAAAACAATGGGGTGAGCTGGATCTTGTCACTACCACCATTTTAAAGATGAGGAATCTGAGGCATAGAAAGATTAACAAATCTGCATGATGTTACATAGTTAAGGAGTGTTGTAGTCAATACTCAAATGTGAGTACTTTAACTCCAGAGCACACATCTTCTAAGAAAGCTATATATGGCCTCATTCACACCATACATCCTCACAAAAGATTAATACATAATTTGCTGGGCCCTTCTAAGTGCAAGGCTCTGTGCAATTACACAAGTTTCATGCCCAGAAAGTCAGCCTTGTCCACATGTATCAAACAGAGAAACATAAAAATCCAAATGATGTAAACATTAGATGAAAAACTGAAGGACATATTTTAACCTTGAAGGAGAGGAGGCCTCCTTAACATCCAAAAAGCGAAGTCATAAAGAAAATAAAAGACTGAATATATCAACATTTTAAAGTTTACAAAATGAATGATAATCCTAAAATTTTAAAAATAAGGAATAAACTGGATGAAAATAGTTGGAAAATAAATAACAGAAAAAGCATTAATATCTATCCAGAATAAAGAAAGAACTTACAAAAAAAACACAATTTTTTGGAAGACCAATAATCAAAAAAAATTGTTAAAGGAAACATAAAAGCAATTTTCAGAAGAGATATAAATGACTTAACCTAAAAACATAAAAAGCTGCTGAAACCAACAATAAATATCAAAGAAATGTGAGTTACAGAAATACTATTTTCAACCCATCAGATCGCTAAAAATTATAAGTTTTATAATACCAAAGGTTAGTGACAGTATGGGGAAATGGGAACTCATGCATTTTCTAATGACAGCTTAGGTTGGTTTAGCTTTTTTTTTTAAGACAATTTGTGAATTTGGTTAAAATTTTAAATGAGCAGTCTTCTACAAAGCAATTTATTTCTTGGTATCTACCACAGAGAAGTACTTACATCTAACAAAAAAAGGCATGTACGAAGGTTATCACTGAGCATTATGTTTAATAGTAAAGAAACAGAAATGGCCTAAATGTTTGTCTATAGTTAAGTTAAATTATGATATATTCAGTCCACAGATTGCTATGCAATATGCAATACTCAGAATGAACCAGATCCTTTTGTTAACAAGAAAAAAAATCTCTAAAACACCGCTGAGCAGAAAAAAAGTCAGTTGCAAAACAGTATGTACCATATGCCACTTATGTACAAAAATCCACAAAGCAAACCTCTAAATTTCTCTATGGAATTGGAAGGGGAGAAAAAAAAACAGAGGAAATCAAAGTCACTTGGGAGAGAGGAAGAGAATTTAGCATCATGTATGCCAAGCTTTTTGATTTTAAGAGGGTCACTTGAGCTTTGTTCAACCTGTGTAGCCTCAGTCCACCCTCTGAGTCCCAGGTTCCCTCTGACTCTCACCTGTGCCAAACCAGGGCCCCTTCCTTATTGAAGAGGAAACGGGCCAAGACTCCCTGGAGCCATGAGATACTAGCGCTGGGTGATCGCTCTTCTCTTCCTGAAGGTGGACAGATAGCCAACAAAATTGTCCCCAGTTGAAAGACTACTGTTTTCTCAAGTTTCCAACCATCACAGGTTTTGCTGCCTTTAGAGCTGCTCCTCTGTGTTCTCCTCCATACAACTGAAGCTGGAGATGATAGGACATTATTGTCACTTACTTTGCACTTTTGTGTATTTTTCACATTTTCTACAGTGAACATGCATTACTTCTAGTAACTGGGGGAAATTAAATGAGGTCAAGGACACACCTCCATTCCTGAGAAGCTTATACACATCTAAATGACCCTTCTGTGGATTCAGTCCTTTGAATAACTAGGGACCAGTGTAAAACTAGGGGATGATTATTAGGAGGCTTCCAAACAGCTAACATTTCAGAAATTTCCACATAGTCATTGGCAATTGCATGGCTTTTATCAACTGAGATTGTGAAACAAAATAGCTTTCAAACTCAAAGCTTTTGTATTGCGATGTACTCAACTAGAATAACTTTGGGTGGGAGTTCTAAAAAGCAAGATGATTGGATCTTGATAGACCCAGAGTTTCTGCTTTGTTTTCCTTTATCTTTTTTTTTTTTTTTAAACTTGTTAGTTATCTGAAGCATCTGAGGCCAGGTAGGTTTCACTTCCCAACGGATTCTTCTATGTGACCCTCTTGTTTCCCCCAGGTGGAATTCAATGGTATTCAGTTAAAGGCTGCACAGAGAACCTAGACAAGTGCTTTAAGGAAATCGTGACAGCTCATGAAATTTACTATGCTTACTGCTGCCATCAACCTTTGTGCAATTTCTGAGGCAATGGCCTATAACCAAATTGCTTGACTGATCAGTCTTAAAGCCTGAGATGGTGATCCGAAGACATCAGCTACTATCAATCAGCCCTCTGTAAAAGCCTGAGACCTGTAGGTTGTAGGAGTTATGGTCTGAAACCAATTTTGGCTTTGAAGGTACCCAACTTCATCCCCACGACCCCCAACTCATCTCAAAAACATCCTTTCCAACATCATCTTTCTCTTCTCCTCTTTCTGCTTGTTACCCCTTCCTGTGATTTCAAAGCTACAAAGACGTAAAAATGTGACTGAGTCAAATTACTCATGTTCTCTATAGTTTACTAATTTTCCTGAATATTTCCACACTCCAAAATACAGTTACAAATGAATTGCATCACAAGATACCAAGTGACCTGAGAGTGTTCATTTGGTTTCCAAAGCAAACTGCCTTGCTCTTTCTGGGTAATTTATGGTATGGGAGAAACTGATTTAACAAATATTGTAGGAAAAACAACCCATGAATCAGCAAACCAGGCGTGTAAGAACTACAAACCCAAATGGCAAGGGCTCAGGCAGGTGTGAGGGTTGGCACTTATTTTTCCCATCTGTGTTAGGATTTGTCAAAATTCTGGATTTCCATAGTTTAACTATGCCTTAGTGCTTTGGCTAATCTAGTTTTGGCAGATTAAGCAATTCAGCTGAAGCAAGGAAATGGGTTCCCATCCACAAGGAATTTTAAAGGGTAATGAATATACTCTGAACTGCATTTAACATTTTTTAATGTGCCATTTTGAATGAATATTCTCATTCAATGCCCTACTTTTGCAACTTCAAGATTACTGTGTTTTAAAATTTAAAGTTGTTTTTCTCTGTATTTTCAGGAGTTTGATAAATTAAAACAGTAAATAAAAAATCTCAATAAAACCTTTTATTATTTTTTCTCAGTACCTATGACAACATCTTATACACAGTGGGCCTTCAACAAATGCTTTTATATAAATTTGGAAGAAAAACAGCATTAAAAAAATAAAAGGCCCAAGGAAACTAGACATTTTCCTCCACATTCATTTTATCTATATTCCATATTTGTGAATCTACTGAGAAAAAAAAGTTTCTTCATCCTGAGATTTAAATCCATTTGCCATTATTCTGTCCCTTTGAGTGTCAGCCACACTGGTAAACAGTGGTTATTTCAGATCGGTGAACTTCACGGAGATTTTACTTTTTTCTTGTTTTTTAAAGGTAACTAATGTTATTTACCCAATATCATGGAGAAAAAAAGTGACAAGAGTAGATTATCAGTGACTAACTCCAGAGGGCTTCCCAAGCTTAATTCACAATCTAAGTACAGTGAGAAGAGAACAAGGAAGCCAGAGCTAGTATTGTGTCACTAATTAGCTGATAACCTTGGTAAGTCACTTTGGTCTCTCTGTATTTTATTCTTCTCATGTATAAGATGAAAAGGATGGATCATATGATCTCTCAGATTCCTTTAAGTTCTAACATTATAGGCATACCTCAGAGATAGTATGGGTTTGGTTCCAGACTACTACTAAAGCAAATATTGCAATAAAGAGAGTCATGTGAATTTTCTGATTTCCAAATGCATACAAAAGTTATGTTTACACTATATTGTGGTCTAGTAAGTACACAATAACATTCTGCCTAAAAAAAAAACCAATGTATGTACCTTAATTTAAAAATACTTTATTACCCCGACAACATAACGCCATTTGCAGCAACATGGATGCTCCTAGAGAATGTCATTCTAAGTGAAGTAAGCCAGAAAAGAGAAAG